ATATATATATATATATATATATGTATTTATATCTATACCTGTATATATATATATATATATATATATCTGGATACATATACATATATATTTCTGTACATATCTTTGTATCTACATATATATGTCTCAATATACATAAATACATATATATATATATATATATATATATATTTATGCCTATATCTATACCTCTATTGACATAGATCAATCTAGCTACATATATATACATATATATACATATATATACATATACATAGATATGTGTATCTCTCTCTCTCTCTATATATATATATAGTGTCTATATCTATATCTATATCTGTCTTTGTATCTACATATATATGTTTGAAGATATATATATATATATATATATATATATATGGCATCGTGAAGGGTTCAGGAGAGTCGCTATACGCGAGATATACAGAGACAAAGCAGAGAGCAACTGAAGAGGAGACAGTAAAGAGGAGACAGTAAAGAAGAGACAGATCTTCACATGAAGCAAACTCAACAGAAAAAAGAGATTGTTCTTTATACAAGATGCAGCACCACCAAAGGAGACAAACAAAACCCTCAAAGAAAGCTTAGCTTAAAGATGCAGAGGGAGACACTTCTTCTTCACTGAGAGCCACCTGTCCAGCTGTAAACCCTAAACCCTAAACCCTAAACCCTCAACCCCAAAGCTGAAATCCCTATTGCCAAGTTTCCTAAACCCTAGATGCGTAACCCCAAACCCTAAACCCTAAACCCTAAACCCTAGGGCTGAAGTCTCTTGCCCCCCAAGTTCGGCCAAGAGCCTCTGTGTGGCTTCGAGCTAAACCCTGTACCCTAAACCCTAAAACCTAAACCCTAAACCCTAAACCCTAGCCTTCTAAACCCTAAACCCTAAACCCAAACCCGTAATCCCTAAACCCTAAGGCGTGGACATGAAGACCCCCAAGTAAATACACTTAAAATATTTCTTTGCAAGAAAAAAACCTTCCAAGTGACTGCAATTAGGGTCGCGGCGTCTGCTGCAGATGTGTGTACACCCCAAAACCTGCTCTGAAGGAGCTGTTTGAGCAGTGGGTGCAGCAGCAAAAGCAGCAGCTGCCGCTGCAGCAGCAGCGGCAGCAGCAGCAAGCAGCAGAAAACGGCGCTGCTGCTGCTGCTACAAGGGCATCTCGACTGCCCGCCAATGCCAAGTGCATTAGAGAAGACAGACATTAGAAGAGACAGCACCAGAGACAGTAGAAGGAAGGGGTTGTATTTATTTAAGAGACAAGAAGGCTTCCAATTAAGCCGAAGAGACATGAAAAAAACAGAAACAGCAGAGCATAGACAAACAAACAACAATAAAAAGGAGACAGTAACAAAGAGAGAAGGAAGAGGAGACGGAAACAAGCTCAAGGAGACAACAAAAGGGAGGAGAGACAGCACAGATGACCAGACACACAAAAGCTCCCTCACCCTCATCAGCACCCCACATATGCTGCTGCCGCTGCCACCGCTGCTGCCGCTGCTGCTGCTGCTGCTGCTGCTACTGCTGTTTCTACCCGAAGGAACAAGAGCAGCAGCAGCAGCAAACATTAGCAGGGCTTAAGCTTTTTGAGTGATATGCAGCAAAGCATTTGAGGTATGTCTCTATCTCCTTTTGTATTTGTTAGTCTCCTTGTAAATCATATACTTTCATTGTTTCTTCGTTTTCTTCGGTCTAAGTTGCATAACGTCTGGTAATGTTAAACCTGTGAGATCGCCAAGATCTCTAATATCAAGTGCTTCAGGGTTTTCACTAAGAACATCTTCTTCTCTTTCTTCTTGCGTCATGACGGGCCCTTCAGGCTCTGGGAGTACCTCTACCCGAGGAAGAAGGCTGGGGTCATATGGGGGGGCGATGTCTGCCTCTTTTTTCTCTGCTCTTTTTAAACTACTTTCTACTTGTTTTTCTGTATCTGCAATTGCCTCTGTTGCTGCTTCGTGTAGTGCACTTAAAACCTCTTCATCATCACCATACTTTTCTCTTCTTCGTATTGCCTCTTGAATCGCATCCATAAGAGCTTCAGTTACGTCTGACTCTACGTCTCTTCTGCTAATAGACTCAAGAAACTTGTCTTTTTTCTCCAGATACTTGAATGTCTCCTCCAGACGAGAAAGATAACAATAACCACTAACAAGATGCTGAGGAAGACCAGGACTCCAATACTTTGAATCTGCGACGTTCTTGAGGGCATCTCTAAGTGCTTGTTCTGTGACTTTGTTTGTTTCCATTTGAATTTTCGTCCCTACTAAGTCCGTTTGTATATCTCCCCATCTCGCCTCTACATATTGTCTGTGAAAGGGAGAAGATAAGCCTTCCGATATTATAGTAAACAACTCTTGAGGCGTCTTCTCCTGAAGAGACTCAGTAAGCTTCTGCTTCCAAATAGAGCTATCTACATGCACCTTAGCATACCGCATATCGCCTACAATCCCTTCAAACATTCTAGTAGCAACAATTACATCATCCACCTCTTCCTCTAAATGCCTACTCCAGATAAGATGTGTAGAGACCTCAGGATCGAAGGGATCAAACATTTCCTTCGTAAAGTTGGAGTACTTAGATTTTAATCTTCTCACAGCACGACCAATACCACCTAACATCCTAGAATCACGATCCATACGAGCAAATGCTTCAGCCTCTGGCATCTTCATCCTTTTCTCTAGCATCGTTTCTAAGCGTTCAACAGCTCTCTCTGCTTCTTCTGTTGCTTCCCTAGCTTCCACTAACATACCCTCTAATTCATTTTTAGTTTCAAATAATAATAGCCTTCTCTCTTGGCTGTCCAGCCAGCTCCTCTCTGCTGCTGCTGCCAAATCTTTAGCAAGACGAAGAGGCTCAGGGTCCGTCATAATCCCTGTAATATCTTTGATACTCTGCGGCTTTCCTTCTGCTGCTGCTGCTGCACTTTCTGCTACTTTCTTTGCAAAATCTAGAGCTCCCGCCTCCCTCATTTCGTCTTCTGTAATAGATGCCTTTGCTCTCAATAAATCGCATAAGGCCCTTGCTAATTCTACATCTTCAGTCCTTGCTTT